AAAACTCTCATTGGCAAGAGGAATACTGCCATCCAGTACTGAAATACACTGGTAATAACAGAAGAAATTAATTGGATTCTCCCTGCATAGCTAAGAGTTTTAGCTTGCCAGGTTGTAATCCTCTTAGTAATCTTGCTCACCAGAATACTGCAATCCTGAGCTGACAGCCTACCTGAGAGGAGGGGCACACCAAGATATCTCACAGGTAACTCTCCTAGAGGGAAACCAGTAAGATCTGATATCCACTGCTGCTCTTCCTTAGAGATACCTGCACAGAACAGTTGGCACTTGGCCAAGTTGCACCTCAACCCAGAAACATGATAAAACTTATCAAGCAACCTCTTCACCCCTGCAACTGCCCTGACTGAACCATTAGAGAAAACCAGCAAATCATCCGCAAAGCAGAGGTGAGTTAACTCAAGACTCTTGCATCTTGGATGATATGGTATAAGGTTTTGTGATACATCCCTAGCAAGCATACATGAGAAGATCTCCATGGCAATGGTGAAAAGGTAAGGGGACAGTGGATCCCCTTGCCTTAACCCCTTGCCTGCTGGGAAATACCCACATAACCCCCCATTAAAAGCCACGCTCAGCATGGGAGTAGTGACACAAGCCCTAATTAACCTGATGAAACTCATAGGAATGTTCATAGCCTCCATAACTTTCATTAAAAAGTTCCAATCTACAGAATCAAACGCTTTCATCAAGTCAATCTTCAACACACATCTTGATGAAATTGAGACCCTATGATAATCCTTAACAAGCTCTGTAGCCATTAGAATATTATCACTGATTAACCTACCCTTAACAAAGGCAGATTGACTAACCCCAATAAGCTTAGGTAACACTGAGGAGAGCCTATTAGCTAACAATTTTGATATTCCTTTATAGACCACATTACAACAGGAAATTGGCCTAAAATTCTGCATTTTATCCACCACTTCAAGCTTAGGAATCAAAGCAATAATGGTAGAATTTACCTGCCTAGGCATAATACCAGTCTGAAAGAAACTTAGGACAGTATCTTCCACAGCTTCACCTACAACCCACCAATCCATTTTGAAGAACTCAGCAGTGTAACCGTCTGGTCCTGGTGCCTTATCATTCCCCATCCCCATAAAGACTACCTTAATTTCTTCTCTGGTAACAGGAGCTAACAGAGCCTGGGCATCAGCCTCCCCAAGCTTGTGGCCAAGAAGACCCTCAAAGTAGGATAATGGCATGTCTTGTACTGAAGAATCAGCTTGACCAAGCAACCCCTTGTAGAACTCAACAGCTAACTGCCCCATCGCCTTCACCTCTGTAATCACCTCCCCTTCCTCTGTAATCAGTTTTTGAATTGTCTGTCTATGATTCCTGACTTTAACCATACTGTGGAAATACTTAGTATTTGAATCTCCCTCAGTAATCCTTCTAACTCTCGATTTCTGCCTATAAAATTGCTCCTCAGCCTTCTGCAACCCTCTACAAACCTCTTCCTGATCCACTACTGCATTAGCAAAGCCAGTAGATGGATCATCCAACACAGCCTGCTGCATAGTCTCCAACTTAGTTTCAGCTTCTCTAACACGGGCAGAAATCTCAGAGTACTGAGAACGGTTAAGCCCCTTCAGCTTCAACTTCAGCGCCTTCAATTTCTGGTACAACTGGAAATATGGAACACCTCTAACCTCCACTTGCCACGCTTCCTCCAGCAAATCCTGATACTGAGGGTGCTGCCTCCAAAAGGTGAAGAACTTGAATGGCTTTGGCAAAGAAGAGGTTGTGGGATCTGTGTGAACCAATAAACCACAATGGTCCGAAACACTAGGAGCCAATGTCTTAACCATACTATCTTTAAAAACATCCAGCCACTCTTCATTAACCAAGGCTCGATCTTTTCTTCTAGCAATGGGATTAACAGATTGCTTGTTCCACCAAGTGTAGCATATCTGTTATCCACCTACCAAAATCATCCATGCTCTGATTCTGACTAGCGTTATTAGAAGCTTCTGAGGCCCCAATGATTGCATTGAAGTCCCCAATGAAGATTCCAGGCTCCCTTGTTACTACACATCGACGAAGTATCTCATATAATTCAACTCTTTCAGCTGTTTTATTAGGTCCATAGACCACAGTAATCACACAAGACTCCTCCCCAGACTGCACTCTCACTTGGATAAAATGCTGACCCATATCAACTTCAACCATTGACAAAGCAGGCTTCCAAAACAACCAAATTCTACCATTGTAAGAAAATTTATAATTACTAAGGTGCTTCCAGCCACCAAACTGGCGACTAACTATCTCACCAGCATTACTTTTCAAAACTCGTGTTTCTAGTATTGCAAAAAAATCTACTCCTAACTGTGCTACTTTCTTATTCACATATCTATGCTTCTCAGAGGAGTTAAACCCTCTAAGATTCCACACAAGCAACTTCATGTCTTCTTCTTCCTACCTCCCTTCTTCTTAGGAGATAGAGGAACAATCAGACCAATACTCTTCTCGTTCAAAGGCACCCTAGCACGAACTGCAGTATCAGGTATACGCAACCCCCCACTCTGCACAGGACGGTTAACTTGCACAGCCTTCCCATTTTTGCCCACCAATTGAAACCCCTCCTCATCCACCACAACTGAAGCTTTCCCTGAATTCTGACTCGCCAGTACCCTGCCCACAACAATAGGAGTAGTACTTACAGAGGCATTAGACGCCTCTCCCCTTATTAGCGCCCCACCCAGTGAATCATCTTCAATAACACACTTCCCTCCATTCCCCCGTTCACCTGATCCTTCCATTGCAATCATAGGCCCAGGACCCTCAATTGCATCCTGAGAGCCAGGTGCACCAATCAACAAACGCGCAGGAACGGCAGGACTTGCTTCCCCTCCAGACCCCAGATCAGTAACCTTACTCACAGTTACAACTTCCCGACACCTAATCCCCTCTCCACACTTATGCCCAAATTCCACACACTTCTCACAACGATGAGGGGCATGTAGATACTGAACAAACAGGGTAATAGCAGCTTCCCCTTCAGGACGAATCCTAAGCTCAGCCGGGAAGGAGGAGTTAGCAGCCATCTCAATACAAAGCTTAGCAGTACCCATATGAACCCCTAGCTTCGTCGACTGATCCATCCAAAGCGGCGCACCAATCATACTCGCCACCCTAGTCAACCCTTCTTCCGTCATGTATTCCAGTGGCAACTCTCTAATCCGCACCCAAATTGGCAACCGAGAGCACCCCAATTGAAGCGACTGAATACCTGGAACCCACTTTCGCAGGAACAACGGTACATTCTCGCAATGCCATGGCCCATTTTCAAACACCCAGGTACTCGTCTCCACACACTCAAACTGGAAAAGAAACATCTTCACCCCAAACACTGATACAAACACTCGTCCATCCCTTCCCCAGTAACGTTGAGCCCAACGGCGGATTGTTGCAATCGGAGGAGCCGCAGAAAGAAACTGCCCGACCAACGCATTTCGCCACTTGACTGCTCCCTCGTCGCGAACCGATCGAGGGATTATTAGCTCCCCATCGACCAGCTCAGGCTCCACAAACCGAAGCCGATTCCCGTCCCCGACTCCAAAGAGCTGAGCCCAGTTTGCTGGCTCCGGCGCGGCCATAGCCGCTTCAATCGCCTGCACCAGCTAGGTCAGTTTTTCCTATGGATATTAAAGGCTCGACTTTTGAAAAGTCAAAACGAGCTTTTGTATAACATAAAAGTAGAAGCTCTGAATCGGAGCTTCTGCGAAAAATTGTTTTGAAAATACAAGAATATCCTTACCATATTTTAATTTTATTTCAGAAAATATAATTTTTTTCGTTTATATCATTTTAAAAATAAAATAAATTATAAAACCATATTATTTAATATAAAATAAATCTAGCAAGATCCATTTTGTGTTTGGAATTTTTATTCATAGTTTATACTATAAGTCTTTATAGTCATTTTATACAACCTCTCATATTAAAAAAAACACTTCTAATAGTTTTTCAGACAAACACTCAACTGCTTTTTTTGGAAAGTACTTCTCTAAAAGCTCCAGCCAGAAGCTGCTTCTGCAAAAGCTACAACAGGGTCAAACTAGCCCTATATTGACTTGGACTTGGGGTATTATGGAGGAGTCCCGTGGCGTGTTCCACCCGACCCATTCCATCCCGCTCAGATTCATCGTTAATCAGTAGTTGGCTACCGGCTGCTACTCTTGAAAATTGAGGTGGACTGTCAATGAACCAAGCTATTTGCGAGCGGTTCGGTGTTCAACTCGATAAAAGCTCATTCCATTTAAGAAAAGTTCAATTCGTTTATTAATGAGTCGAGCTTGAGCTCAGTCTTGTTCAGCTCGTGAGGCTCGTGAACTAGTCCGATTAGGTGGTTTGTTGAGTTCAACTTATGCACTGTCTCGTTTTGACCTCATGAGATGTCTCGACATCGTGACTAGCGAGCCAACTCGACTATGAGTTATGAGAAAATTGATTTATGTCTTATGAGTTGTGTTGTTAATGATGCATAGATTTATTATATTGTATATCTCACCTCATATGATGTTTAATACTTTGAGTATGTGAGCAAATATGTATCATATATGACATGAGATTAGTTACTAACATGTATCATATATGACATATAATTATTAGGATATTTAATCTATAAATTATCTTAGAGTTGAGCTCGAGCAAACTTCTGATCTTAACGATGAGCCAATATTTAATAAATGAGTTGACTCGTGTTCTACTCTCGACTCACCTCATTGATAAACAAGCCGAACTCGAGTTCGGCTTGTTTACAAACGAACCAAAACTGAACAAGGTAAATCGCGGCTCGACTCGACTCATTAAGACATTACCAGCCCTAAGGCAGGTAACATGTTGTTTGTCGCCACGTGTACAAATAATTTTAATACAGTCCGTGACATGTCTGATACCGGGAGCCCAGCCTGTAAAATCCTTCAGCTCAACTAATCAAGGCCCATAGTCTTTTGTGGGCCTAGCCACGATTTTGTTTTTCAAGTTGGCATTTGTAATTGCCGACCAGATATTAGGAAAAAATCGAAAAAAAGCATTTTTCCGATGGTCCACTTCCCGGCTCGGCAGGCGTAGAAAGAGCTGAACGGACGGGAATGCAGAGGCATGGAGCTCGGAGAATCGGCTCCCAGATTGAGATGGGCGTCAAGAGAAGTCACCCATTCTGCTCTGCCACTTCGCTTCCATGGCACCATGAACTTAGCAAAGGTTTGCTCTGCTTCCCAGTCACTTCCTCGCTCTCCCTCCCATCATTTTTCTGTCGCACTGAATTTGCCTAAGATTGAACTTTAAGCCTGTATTAATGCGTAACTCAATCAACCCAGATCACCAGATATTCCGTCATCTACTCGAGGCCTGCAAACTCTCGTCGGATATCAGAACTGCTACCGAAACCCACACCAGAATCATAAGATTTGGGTATGGAACGCACCCGTCTCTCGTGGCTTCATTGATTTCTGCGTATGCCCACTGTGACCGCCTCAATTTAGCTTATAAAGTTGTTGACCAGGTCTTTAATTGGACTGTGAATCTAGTTGCTCTGAATAAGACCCTTCACAGCTTCATCAAATCCAGAGATTCAGAGTTGGCCAGAAAGGTGTTCGATAAAATGCCTGACCGAGATGTGGTGACTTGGAACTCCATGATTGGAGGTTACGTTGATAATGGGCGTTTTGAGGAAGCCTTGAGGCTCTTCACAATGATGCTTACTTCAAATGTTGTTCCGGACAAGTTCACTTTTGCATCTGTTATGCCTGGTTGTGCAAAGCTTGGTAGTCTTCCATTGGCTCAGTGGTTGCATCAGCTGATGATCGATATGAGAATTGAAGTTAATTACATCCTGGTTGCAGCTATGATCGATATGTATTCCAAATGTGGTGGAATAGAAGCTGCAAAAAGTATATTTGAGAGGGTTCAGCGGGATGATGTTTCCATTTGGAACTCAATGATCAATGGCTTAGCAATACATGGTTTCGCACTGGATGCAATTGCAGTGTTCTCAAAGATGGACTTCGAAGATATTACTCCAGATGCTATAACATTTCTCGGAGTTCTGTCCGCTTGTAGTCATTCTGGTTTGGTCAAGGAAGGCCAACATTACTTCGATTTGATGAAAAGTCGGTACTCGATCGAGCCACAGCATGAGCATTACGGTTCATTTGTTGACCTCTTGGGTCGAGCTGGACTTCTTGAGGAAGCTTATGCAGTGATCACATCAATGCCAATAGAGCCAGATGTCATTGTCTGGAGGGCATATCTCAGTGCTTGTAGAACCCACAAAAACCCCGAAATGGGCGAAGTCGCCATTGCTCATATATCACGCCTCAGAAGTGGAGATTATGTATTGCTGTCCAATACATACTGCTCTCAACAGCAATGGGACAATGCGCAGAGAGTTAGGGAGATGATGAAGAAGCATGGGGTAAGCAAAAAGAAAGGAATTAGTTGGTTTGAATGGGGAGGCAGGTTTCACCGATTCAAATCTGGCGATCGATCTCATCCTGAGACAGAACCAATATACAAAGTTCTTGGAGGGCTGATTGAGAGGGCAAAGGCGGAAGGCTTCGTCCCGAAGAGAGAGTTGGTCATGATGGATGTTTCGGAAGAGGAAAAGGAGGAGAATCTTTGTTATCACAGTGAGAAGTTGGCTTTGGCATTTGGGATTCTCAAGACCGGTCCTGGTACAGAAGTCAGGATCTCAAAGAATCTCCGAATCTGCGACGATTGTCACAATTGGTTTAGTTTGGTATCAAGGATGTTAAACCGGGTGATTCTTGTGAGAGATCGGATTCGGTTTCACAGGTTTGAAGGTGGTTTGTGTTCTTGTGGAGACTATTGGTAATTAAAATGATTCCACCCCAAGTTTTTAGGGGAAAGCTAATTTTCAACTTCAGTTGGCTTGAGGTCGTTGGTTCTCATTGCCCGCCATTTTAACTCAGCCCTCGAGGTCAAACTATGATGATTTGGACCCCTTCAGTGGGTAATTAACTAGCTAGCATCATCAGTTTATCAGGTTAACAAAGTCAGCAATGGGATTAAAGCCCTCTGATATTAAAAGTAGGCTAAGCATATATAACTTTCTGGGTCACTAGTTTAAGCTGTGACATCCATAGAGGTTGAGATAATTTGTTCCAACTTCAACCATTCTGGTTTTGGTGATCACTCTGGTGCAAACATTGTTGTGCACTTGAAGAATGTTTCCTGTTTGAAAATCTCATTGAAGTTGGCAAGCAAGCATGATTGCATGGAATGAATGCTTTTGTTCCAGAAGGGGAAGGAAAACCAGAAGAAGCCTTGAAGGGGGATAGATAACAATATCAACATTGTTCAAGATCTGCAGGGTGGCTTGATTCAACCGACTCCGCAGTTACCAGCTACAATGTTTGCTTTGTTGGGTACTTCAACTTTATGAACAGAACTGGGATACATATTTAGACGATCGTACAATACAGCTTGGAGGAAGGTAGGTGGGTACGTAGGTACGACTTGAGATAAAAAGTGAACGAAAGCTCCCGCAGTGAAGAGGAATCGACGCGCAAGGTCAAAGACCTGAGAATGAATGTTGTTGTAATTTCAGGTCTCATGGATGGGAACTAGAGGCATTTTGCCGCCGTAGATATCTGGGATCTGGCTCTCGTCGATGTCCTCAAGAAGTGTGGATTTCAGATTCTTGTTCTCCACAAATACAATCTGCGCGAGAAGTGGAGTGGGGAACTCAGAAGCTGGTTGGTTCAAAATCTTCAACAACTAGCACAGTAAATGGGAATGTGGGCAGAGCCCAGCACACAGCAAAGAGTTACCTTCTTGCGGGTGTTGGTGTCGATGAAAGGACAGACAACTTTCCAAACTGCCATGAAAACGTACGGGACGTGTACTATGAACAACTTCCCCAGCCTTTCCGGATAGTAATCCTGGAATACATATGCATATTATGGAGCTATGACTTGTACGGTAAGAGTAAAACTTGTTCTTATTTACGATTGCTGTTTGGCATTGGCAGAAAGAAAGGCAGGTGGGAGCTGAGAGTAGATATGAAGTTAATTGTAGGATATTTGACCTGCAGAATGTTCAAAGCGGCGAGATATCCACGAATGTCAGAGTTTGCATACCCCCAACCTTCAAGGTCTCCGATCACCACAAATTTCTCCTGTCCTCCACCCATCCTGCAGGCCGATCGACATGTGTATATATATATTTATTTATTTCATTTTAATAATAAGCAAAATAACCAATGATCACTTTTCCTGAATAATTAAGTAGAAAGAAAGTAGATTACCTGGCGAAGAGTTTGTCGAAAGCATAAACTAGATAACCTGCATGAACAATTAAAGATTAGATGGTAATTATTCTTAGTAGTAAGGAAGTAATATAATTAGAGAAACGTGTACAGCGTAGGGGGCGTACGCTTGAACTCGTCGAGGCCGCCGATCTTGTTCTGGAAATGGCGAGCTCCGAAAACGAGGGCGACGGGGCGGCCTTGGCGGTCAGTCCCTTGGAGGAACATCTTGTTCTGCTCCATCTCGTTGGCGATCTCGGAGGCGGAGATGTAGCCTTTGGGCACAAACGCAGCCCTCCACTTGAGGTACTTGACAAACATGGCCGCTGCTTTCTCCACATCCAAATCCCTCGCTCGGAGAAACCTTCTCAGCGTCGCATCGTCCACGTCCTGTATCAGAGATAGATGCTCTGATCAGCCACCCGCGTCGAAAGAAGAGATAATTGACGATCATGATTACCTTGGAAGAGGGATCCTGGCGTTCGGCCAGGTATCTCAACAGGCTCAGTTTGGTTCTCTCCACCTCGTTACCATCGTCAACGTCGCTTCTGCGGAGCTGCTTCTCCTTTTCGGAGCTTGCTTGTTTGAGACGGTCTTGGTACGTACTAGTAGTAGTGTTACAGGAGGTGGACAGCATGATGATATCGTTGGCGTTGGGAACCTCTTTGTTGTTGTTGTTGTTGTTGTTGTTCGTCTTTGCTGGCGGTTCCTGATTGCTGCTGCTGCAACTTATAAGCTTGTCGGCAGTATTATTACTGTCTTCTCTCTTCATCGCTTGTAGTCTAGGCTATAGATGATTCAGGGCCGGAAGCTAGCTAGCTAGCGCAGACTTATTTCTATCGGTCCATCCACCACCCCACCCTCTTTTCGGTCCTGTCATTCTCACAAACTTTTCCCCTATATATATATACGGGACGGGAGAGGGCGACAAATTATATTGGAGCTTCTAAAATTATGAATTTATGACCTTTTGTGTTGTTCAATTTGATTGGAATTATTCTATTTTGCTAAGCCGAAAGGAATTATATGTTATTCTCATGTATGTTTCCTTCTCCATTGTGGATATATACCCATGTGCATTGAGCGTAAGGTGTAGAGGAGACCAGGGAGCTAGAGCTTGAAGATGTGATGTATTCCGATTACCTCAACTCTCACAGCTGCCAGAGGCAGAGAAGAGAGAGGAGTGGGGCAGTTGGGGATTGAATGCTGGGCTGCTGGCTGGCGAGGCGAGAGAGATATGCATGGTAGTTGGGGTGGGCACCTACAGTTTAATGCTGTGGTTAGTGATGGCAATGGGTCGGGGCGGGGCGGGTAGCTCAATATTCATGTCCGCCCCACGCTATTATGGGTCGGGGCTGGTAATACCCACGCGGATATGAGGCGGGTCGAGCCACTCTTACATGTTATTCGAAAAAATACACATAAAATTTTACTTTTTACGGTAAACCCAAAGGGAAAAGACTTCATGAATGAATAATAGTGATAATATAATGGGTAATTGAGTCTATCTAGTTGAAAGATCAAATCGAACTACTTACAAAATAACCAAAATATGATATATATGAATGGATGGCATAAAAAATTGACCTAGAACGGGCCAAGAATGGGGCGGGGCGGGGCAGGGCGGGTAGGAAGTTGATACGCATGCCCCGCCCCACGCTACTACGGATCGGGTAATACCCGCTCCATCACGAGTCAGGTCGGGTAATACCTGGCGGGACGAGTCCAAATCGCCTGTGGTCTACTGTTGAGACTGGAAATTTTATTTTCTTCCTGAAATGAAATAATATATTTCCATTCAACGGGAAAAAAAAATATTTCCTTTACTTTCATAACTTAAATGCTTGGAGTGACAAAAGGATCCGAGAAATGGAATCCCAACGGACAACAGCTCGAGAATTGTAAAAAGCGGTGGGATATATGGTAACAAAAATTATTATTATTTATTATTTATATAAATGGTAATGACTGGTATACTACACGCGATATGATCGTTGGTATACTACTCCATAAATAATAAATATAAAATTGCAAGTTAAAATTACTATTCTTTGCTAAAAAGTTAAAAAAATAGTGATAGTATTCCAATTGATGAAATTCCATTTAACGCTCCAATCAGTATTCCAATTAAGAATGAACTTCGGTTTCTAGGTTTTCTTGAACTTGATGGCGGCTGCACCGTTAGCTAGCAAGTCGCTTCCAGTCGGGAAGCCACCGAAATTTAGTGGCAGCTGGAGAGCGGCGGCACTAACCTCTTCTCTAGATTATGGCAAAGGAGAGAAGGAAACTGTCCAGGCAAAAAAAAAAAAAGAAGATAAAACGAGTTCGAGGGATGAACCTGAAACAAGAAGGCCAAGTGGGGCTTGATGGGTCTCTCGGAGATGGACACAGAATCTGGCCATGAGCGAGAGGGGTTCTCTTCAAAGGTCACTTCGAAACCATCTGTTTAGGAGGGAGCAGCATCACGTTTGTTCTCATGAGACGTGGAGAGAAATGATGGTACGTGGCTGAATCTGATTCTAAAGACGTGGTGACAAGGGAGATGGAGGAAGATGATTTCATTTCCTGAAGGGGAACAAAATCCACGCTGCCCATCTGCGTGGTTTACAATAGCTCAAAAGATACGCTGGCGCAGGGAGTGGCGATCAGCTCTGGTGGTCAAAGGACTTGGGAAGAAGGTGTCTTATTTGGCGCTTGCGTGAAGGTTGAACTACATGTGGGCACGACATGGAAATATCCAAATTTCAGACATGAAGAATGGATGTTTCCTAGTGAGGTTTAAGAATAAAATGGTGTATGAACTAGCTGCGTATGGGGTTCATGGTTTTTGGGGGACACCTATCTGGCTGTGCATAGGTGGTACAAGGGGTTTAACCCTTGGACAGTGGAGATCAGTTCAACCATCGTTTGTGTTCAGCCACCAGAACTGCCTATGGAATTGATTAAAGTGGAAGCAGTAATGCAGATTGCGGAGTTGGTGGGAATACCAGTAAGAGTTGACAGTGCGATTGAGGAGTGTGCTCGAGCTAAGTTAGCCACCAGAACTGCCTATGGAATTCATTTACAGGGAAGAAGTGATGCAGATTGTGAAGCTGGTGAGAAGGCCAGTGAGAGTTGACTGTGCGATTGAGGAGGGTGCTCGAGCTACGTTTGCGCGTGTTTGTGTTGAGGTTGACCTTACCAAACCATTACTATCGCAGTATAAGGTGGAACGAATAACTTACTTGATCTAATATGAAGGGCAGAAGATGAAATGACCCGATCCTTTTTGAAAATCAAACCATAACTCAAACCACAAACCGGTTACTCCGGAGCAACCCAAAACAAGTTTACAAGTCAAAACCAAAAATCAACAACAACAATGTTTAAGATTCTCAAGTAAAATGCCCTAAGCACTTGGCGACCTCAATCCACACAATCCTTGAGTTTCCCAGTATACTCATTTAGACATGAAACTAAAGAAAGATATATGGGAGGTCCCATCTCGTTAGCAAGATCCAGTCGACTTCTTCAGGTTTGCCGCGGCTGCTCTCCTCGAGTAACCTCCTCTTGATGGATGCGTCCTCTTCCCCTCTCTACACCTGGTGAGTGAGAAGGGGTCGGTCTCGTCGTTACTTCCTAAGGTCTTTGCCCTAGGCGAACTCCCTACTAAACACGTTATTAGGGTTCCTGACTTAGACAAAAGTCGTTCTCGCTTTCATCCTTTATACTTTGCTATCAAACAGTCTATAAGAGATCTCTACTCCTATCTTATTTTTAGAATTTCCTTAATCCATAAATACCAACACTAGGTACCACCACGTTACGTCTAGCCGTCCGATGTTCCTATCCTAGTATGCCAACCGCGTTACGTTTTGCCATCCGGTTGCATACCCAAACTCGACAATGGCACTGTGTTACGTCTAGCCCGTCAACTACTGCGTTACGTCTCGCCGTCCAGTAGTGACCCAACCGCCCGGGGGTTCCTCATACCATCAATCCCTACAACACCACATACACATACATACATAGCACAACGCGTGCCTCCACCCCTTACAGGCGGTGGGATGCCTCACACATAATGCGCATAACTCACAAATTAACTAAATAATAACTTAGCTTGAAACGAAAAGCATAAATTAAAAATACCTCAACGGAGATTTTACCCCATTTACACTCACCTCGAAAAGATGACTCATCGATTCCTTCTTCGACGAAACCCCTCCTTAGCCGAATTATCGTTGGGAGACCTATTAATAAGGATCCATTTTCTTAGACGACCTTTCTTGATTTAAAACCCCTTTTGAATCACTAGAAAGTCCTCTCCTCAAACTCCAGTCATCGAGTCTCATTCCAAAGGTCCCTTAAACCCATTAAAAAATTTCTGGAATTAATCCCTACAAAACCGACCATTTTTCTTAATTATTTTTATCTTGGACGGATTTTTCACCTAACTTGATCCTTCTTAAAATTTGGATAATAATTTTCCCATGTCAATTATGAGGACCTATACCCTGGAAAATTATCAAACCCTTAAAAAACCCTCCGAAAGATTTTTATTTAATTAAAACGAATATTCAAACAATTTATTAAAATAGAAATACAGCTTCAAAAATCCCCAAATTAAATTACAGCCATCTCTTGGACCACCCTCAATTTACCAAATTATTAAACTCAGGAACAAACACTCACAGAGACTCGAAACAATTAAAACATCCAAAATTACGTTTCTGGAAATTTTCAGCAGCTCTAGTGACTACCCAAATCTGTCACTAAAACTCTGTAACGCCTGTTGCTAAAACCCCAAAATTGTACCCTCACAAAAAATCACCAAATCGATCGATCTAACTCAAAGGGATTGAGTTCTCTTACCTCTAGAATGTGCCTAGGACTATAATGGATGGCTCGGGACGTTGATCTCCCCGTTGATCGATGATCAACCCTCAACCCTTGCCGCAAACGCTATATTACAAAATACGAATTTCGGATTAGTCTATCGATAAATCGAGTTTAGAAATCGCGAAGGGCTTCGTGATCCTTACCTAGAAACACGAAAGGGATGAGATCGGGATCGAGATTGGGGTCGTGTGGTGGTACAGTTAAATTTTAAAGGCCGTGGGAGGGATGGCGGCTATTGGGGCAAATAAATGGGGCGGGGTTTATTGTGGGGAATAATTACAGAGAGGGGTTTTGCTGCTGGTGGGTGCTGGGGGGATTTATATGCGTGGCCGAACAAAGGAATGGCCTCTCGGCCCTTCCTGAACGTGTGGGATTATATATATATATAATAGTTATTATAATAAATAAATTATTATTATTATTAGTTTTTTATAATAAATAAATAATAATAGTTATTATTATTATTCTTAATCTGTGGTTGTAAGTCTTAGTACGTAATCGTTAAACTAACCGCTCATTAAATATGGTCGAACCCAAATCTAAAATACCGGGGTGTTACATTTCCTCCACCCTTACAAAAATTTCGTCCCCGAAATTTGGAATTGGAAAGATAATTACTTGGTCTTAAAGTTTGGTGTTTGACTAAAACTTCTCAAGTTAGGATATAACATTTCCCTCCCCCTTAATAAAATTTCGACCTCGAAATTTTGGTCCGAACTAGTTTAATAGGTTTGGTACCGAGTACTAAAACTAAAAGTGCGTCTTTCAAAGAAAACAACCAACTAGTGGTCTATGATTAAAGCAAATACCAAAAGTCTCCCCGTTTCTTCTCATGATCACATTAATGTGCTTGCTCGTCCCCTCCATCGTCACCACGATCTCCTTCTATCCCTCGCATGGCAAAAACCCTCGGCTGTTGGTACACAATTGATTACACATGTTTTTACCCCTATCCTTGAGCCGTTTGAGATGTCGATTCTCGCGTTTTAGGCCGATTTCATGCTAGGTTGTTCTTGTTTGTGATATTTCAGG